TCTCTCTCTCTCTCTCTCTCTCTCTCTCTCTCTCTCTCTCTCTCTCTCTCTCTCTCTCCCCTCCTACCCTCTAAGTCCAAGTCTACTCTCGGGTTACTCCTAACAGACTACTACGAATACGAAGGATGGTTACGAGTCCTGATGAAATTAGAGATAGCGACATTGAGACTGCAGGTTGAGGACTACCTTTGGGATCTGACTTCATCTACCTCTGGGGATGTATCTTGACATTGTGAGGTCGATTTCTGAGACACTGTGAGACTCTGTATTCGCGACATTTCGGATTTTCGCTACTTCTGACATTTTGAGATATTATTTTTGGAAACATTGAGTTGACGTCATCTTCCCTCTCCTCCTCCCTTCGTCTCTGCTCTCCCCCATTCATCTGTGTATGAGATCAGCCCCTGGCCTCTTCTTCCATGTTCAAGGCCAGGGCTTTCACACCACCGATGCATGTCTGTGAGAGATCCGTTGCAGTCTGAGTCAGGTTTTGAGTCAGTCCATGTGTATCAAGTCTTCCGCTGTAATTGTACTTACTCTGTATTATCTGGTCGGTTCTGGGAATCTGTGCCATACTTATGACTGTGTTTCACGAGTATGCAACACCTCTACCCCCCAAAACAGCAAATTATAGGAAATAAACCCCCCACTACTACTCTGACGAGTATTGGCTGGGTTGAGTCAGCTTACCATTCCTACTGTCGGCTGGAGGGGTGCCAAAGGCAACATTTCAGATGGTTGGGCACAAAGGGTGGATATGCGAGGATATAAGACCCCAAGCACACTGGGACTCCTATGTGCACCTTCGGTGTCTCAGCACGCATCAGCTAGGCTGCTTGGATTTCCTTTGTTTTGACCCACTTTATTTTCATGTAACAAAAACTGTCCACAGAAGAAAGAAAATCAGAGAAGAAAAGACCCCGGTGTCGAACACCCATGGGAACAACAGGAAAGAGGGAGAGAAAGGACGGGGATGAAAAGGAGCAGCAGCAACAGCAGCATGCAAAGAAGAAACCAAGAAGAAAGAAGAAAGAAGAAAGAAGAAGAAGAGGAAGAGGAAGAAGAGGAAGAAGAAGACGGACAAGAAAACGAAGTATAAGACGAAGGAGGAGGAGGAGGAGGAGGAGGAGGAGGACCCTGCACCGTAACCTGATCCATGTTGAGATCGCATTACAGAAAGTGCAATAAATACACACACACACACACACACACACACACACACACACACACACACACACACACACACACACAGATGCAAACCATTCTGACTGATATGGACGAGAGCGTAAACAACGAAATGATGTAAGACACGTAAAAGAAATTACTTCCACAAGGAACATTTGGTCGGGAACCCGAAATTTTCAATATTACACGAATGTTATGACCTGTCATCACACGGACTGAAACAGACAGCCGATTTCTGAGTCTTGCCGTGGAATGCATGCCATACTAAGTTCCCCCACCTGCTAAGTCTGCTTGTGTGTGTGTGTGCTGGACTGCATGTCTGTCTGAATGCTGGCTGACCTGTGTGAGTGTGCTGCGTGCCTGTCTAAGTGACTTGAGTGTGTGTGTGGCC